TTATGCTCAACCACTGTGCTATACCCCTTGGGCTTCTCCTGGTTTCTTGCTCCTTGCCTCTAACTAATTTGCTCCCTCTTATGGCTCACCTCTACCTGAGTGTCTGTCTCATTAACTGGCAACCTGCCTACTATTCACATTACAGCGGGGCTATTTATACTTTCAGGGGTCTCCAAAGAAGGGCAGAAATGGAAAATGTTAAGTGTATATAATTTTAAGGGGCTAATTCCAGTTTTTTTGGACCCAAGACTGAGTTTTGAGTTTCTTCTGGGCTTAAACAAACTATGGTGATTATGAATGGGCTTTTGCTTCATAATTCAATGTACAAACTTATTTGAGAGCTAAAACAACTCATCAGTTTTGTCCTGCTGAGGCTTTCACATATGAAAACTCTCCCAAACAGGATTTCAAAAACGACTTTCTCAAAAGGTGCTAATTTTCCCCACTTTAATACAGAAAGTATTACTGACATATGATAGGTATTGAGAAACAAATTTAGTACCCAACTTATAAACCCCCAAAATGATTTTATTGCCATTTTTGGTAGAAGTCTACCAACCATCTGAAATACAGATGTGTTTAGCAAAAGACTATTAACCATCAATCTTTAGTTGTGCAGCTATGGTTACATAGATAGTTGTTTTAAAGTTATACATCTTCTGCCAGCTAACAAAGAACTGATATTTTATGACTTAAAAAAAAAAGCCGAAGAAAAATAGTATCTACTCCTGAGTGGAGAAACAAAATCACCTAAGGAAAATTTAACTGTTCTCTATAAGTAATCCTAAATAATAAAAAGCTAATATGCAAATTGTTATCATGCCCTCACAATCCATCACCAAGAGGCTGCACGCGGGTGGGCAAGGCCGTGTGGCTAGGCCTGAGGGTCCCGTGGATCCATGTGGCGTGGAGGCGGGACTCCTGGTTCAGGCCTACCTCTTTGGGGCAATCCATCGAGGAGCCCCGGATGGCTGGTGGGGGCTACCTCTTGGGGTGATAGATCGTGGGGCTCCTGCACTGTGAGAGGGCACAGGCCAGGCTGGGGGACACCCCGCCCCAGTGCATGAATTTTGTGCACCGGGCCTCTAGTCAGATTAGTAATGATGCAGTGCAGTTTGCTAAAAAGGAGAGTCAACCCAAAATCTTTAAGCTAAATTCATTTCATATTTGATCATGGGTCCTTTCAGACCAGCATTAAAGTCTACTAGTCCTAGCTTGCCAAATATAATAGAATGTGCAAATATAAATTTAGAAATTTGACTTTTCTTAACCTTCAGCCCCAAATGGCCTAATTTTTATATGGGCCTCCAACAATCAAAGAGCATATAGCTTAGTCAGCATGAAGTCAGCCAGTAACAATCAATCGTCACTTTGTAGTAACATCAGAAAACACACAAACAAAAAACATCCCACAATTCTCTAACATTTCCTTTATAACCTGACTGGAGAAGAAATATAAGGAGGGAATTCATGTGTATATGCCCTTGCTCTATGCCCTACACTTGACTAGGGACTTTTATATGTTCTCACAAATATTTATCTTGCCTCTCGCCCTTGAAAAACTCAGAAAACTACATTCTTCAATATTCCGTGCCCTCCAAATTAAAAGAAAAAGTGTGGGGGAGGGGTGTTATGATTAGAAAACAAAGAATTTCTGTGATAAATATAAATACGTGTTTAAGATAAAATAAGAGCCTGCTATAATATACAAAATTCTTTCAAATGTTAAAAAAGTTTGCTTCAAATTACCTATACCTAATTCCATCTAACAACCCCATAAAAACAAACAGCATCTTTCAACCTGATCCCATTAAAGAGACGGGACCTCAGCCCTGGCCAGTGTGGCTTGGAGTGTCGTCCTATACACCAAAAGGTGGCAGGTTAAATTCCCCATCAGGGCACATCCCAAGTTTCAGATTCAATCCCCAGTTGGGGCATGTGCAGGAGGCAGTTGATTGATGTTTCTTTTTTTTTTTATCTCTCTCGCTCTAAAGGAATATATTTAAAAATATATTTTTCAAAAAGAGAGGTGACCCCAAGTGCTTTACATTCACAACTGCAAAAATATTACTTTGTGACTCCCCTATTTCAAATTTGTAAAATGCATTTATTTTCTATTAAGCTACTGAGGTATCTTTAAAAGCATATACTAATATGGTTTCATTTAGTCAAGTAAAAAGGCACCCAAAATTCTACAAATCACACCAAAATAAAAGATTCCAACACTGGCTAGATGACAGTAAAATACACTCTTCTTTATACATATAAACTCTAACTCTCAATTGAGGCATCCATCAAATGAAGCAACAGTGCCTCAAGTAGCTACTGTTCAGAGACGAGGACTTGGGTTGTGTTTCAAATCCTAAAATAATGTTGCAGGTTGTTTGTTTTAATTTATATTTATTGTTGAAAGTATTACAGATGCTCCCCTTTTTCCCCATCGACCTCCTCCATCTCATAACCTACCCCCTAGGCCTTCACCACACTATTGCAGTGTCCTTAGGCCATGCATGCATGCATATAAATTCCCCCATTAATCCCTGCCTTCCCTCTGAGATTCATCACTCTGCTGCATACTTCCATGTCTCTGGATCTATTTTGTACATCAGTTTATTTTGTTCATTAGATTCTAATATTGCAGTTTTAAAAGTTAATCATACAGGAATCTCTGCGAAGTAAGAGATACTGAAAAAATACACTAACATTGGTTACGAAATGTAATTTTTTTCTCAAAAGGATTCCTTGAGGTGACATTAAAATAGTTCCCTTACCCCTAGCTGCTTTAGCTCAGTGGATACAGGGTCGGCCTGGGGACTGAAGGGTCCTGGATTTGATTCTGGTCAGGGGCACATGTCCAGGTTGCAGGCTTGATCCCCAGTAGGGGGCATGCAAGAGGCAGCCAATGATTCTCATCATTGATGTTTGTGTCTCTCCCTCTCTGAAATCAAGAAAAATATTATTTAAAAAATATAGTTCCCAAAGACATTAAATTTACATTTCAGTAATAAAAAGGAGAATATTAAACTAACAAATAAGTTTTTATTGTTGTTGCACAATTCTAAACCTTTAACCACGTAGCAAGGAAAGAACATTTGAAAATAAGAGTTAATAGATCAGCACCACTTTCTAAATAGAGAAATATTTACATCTTGATTCAGTTCGGACAGCTGGGTGTTAAGGAAGCATAAACAGACAAACATGGCAATAGCTTGAGTTATAAGCAGAAGTAGAAAGATTTGCATTAGGATGACAAAAACTGAAAATGAAAGTTAGGAATACTAACCCTTCATATAATCAAAAGGGTCAAGAAATCAAGTTCAAATAATATAAATAGACAGTCACGGTCTTAGCCGCAAAAAGTGAAACGGGAAGGAAAGATCACAAACATTTCAAGGCCATCAGTCACAGGAAAGGGTTGCTTTCTGCCTCCACTGTTTACTAAAACTACCATTTCAAACGATCATTTCCAGCCAACCTGGGTTTGAACATTGCAGCGGCACTTAAATGCTGTCCTTTCCAACGTCAACGGAACATGACGTCCTGCAATATTTTGAATAATAAATGAAAACCAGAATAAGCACCGTTCGTATATTTCTACCTCCAAGGAGCAATGGGGGAAAAATAAGACCTTTCTTTACCAAAAAATAAAATGTATTTTTTGTAAAGAGAGGGGTAGGGAGAGAGGGAAACAGCGACGGCAGAGGGAGAGGGAGAGAAACATCAATCGGTTGCCTCCCATATGTTCCCGACAGGGGATGGATGCCCCGCAACCTGGGAGGTGCCCTAACGGGGAATCCGGACAACGTTCAACCACCTGAGCCACAGCGGCCAGGGAGAGACCTTCCTTTCCCCCATTTACAGCCTTAACCACTCTCTCCCCTTCTTCTTCTTCTTGTTTTGTTTTACTGTCCTTGTCGCAGGTTTACTGAACCCTAAACTTCTTTTCTTCCCATTAAGGGACGGGGAAGGAACAATGGTAGCAGGGAACTCCGATGACAGGGGGGAAATGCAAATTAAACATAGTGGCCTTCCTCGCTGGGGGGAGGCTGGGAACTCCCTGAAGGTTTGGCAGGAGGGAGACAATCCTGATGGGCCCCCCTTAACACATGCTTGACCCCAAGGCGGCACCCTTTCCGTCGGTGGAATTTCTGCTTTGGAAGCGCTTGGCGGTCTTCTCGCAGGAGCCTCCCCCGGTGCATGGCCTCTCTCCCCCTCGGGTCCCCGCAGCGGGAGTCGGGGGGCGCAGGCCCCGGCTCCCCATTTACAGCCAGGCCCGGAAACGGGTCCCGTTAGAGCCGATTTCACCCG